TTTGTTTTGTTTATCAATCAAATGTTTAGTATACAACATCCATAAGAATATTGGTCCACTTTTATACAGAATGTTTTAAAAAATGGGACTAACAGTTAATTTATCATCGCTTTAAAAATGTAGGTATTTAGTCAAGAGGAAATTTTGAATGTATTCTCTAGTTCCATTACAAAAAAAACACTGGAATTTGGAACTTTTAAACAAATCATCAAATTTAATATTACCTAATAACTGATATAAACACATAAAATTCTTTCTTTTACTTAATATTTTTTGAAATGTGTTACACTCCAAACAAGCCTTGTACTTGTCTGAAAAAAAGAAATGATGTCATCTACCTTGAGCTCCTTTAAAAACGTAAGGAAATTTGTTAAAATCTTTAAGCATAAGCAATTTCATCTGCACTTTTATGTTTTAATAATTTTTACGAATAATAGGTACAAATCGTTTTGGTCAACCTTGACCTACAAAATTTGTCCAAATCCGGCCAATATACCCCATAACTTTCTATGCTAAAAATACAAATTTCACATTCCCTGCTTAATTTATTGCACCTATCCATCATCCAGCAGCTCCGAGAATTCCGTTAATCGATCGTCGAACTTTCTAGTCATCATCATCAACCGGGCGAAAGGTTCACCCCGATATAAATCATATTTCCATTGCGAACCTTTTAAGTGCGAGTTTATAGAGCAAAACTATCGCGTATTAAGCGGTAAAACGGCGTTAGTTTATGGGTCTGCTCTGTATGATGGATGTGAGGCAGGCTTGCAGGAATTTCACACACAGAAACTCGCGTGTTTATGTGTTCATGTGATGCATTTAACGCGTTGACAGCAACACTAACAGAAATAAACATTCATACAAGCAGAGTTAATGCATCGTCGCTTTTCTACTCCGCCAGTAAATATTGATGGAAACACGTGTTGCCGCCACTAATATTTAGATGACTTCTGTTAACGCGGATCTTACATTAGGACCGATGAGGTTTGGCGTCAAGGAGCGATTGATCTAGCGCGAAAACTAATTTCGACCTCAAGGAATTTCTCAAAGCACAAAGCTAATGTCATTTCCGGCTGAAAGGAAGCCAACACTACTTGGATATTAAATAATAAATTACATTTTGGACACTGCAATTTGTTGGCACAAGTGTTGTAGTAAAATAAAATGTATGGGACCACATTTTTGTAAAATAATGTTAAAATTTTCAATATAATATATTTCATCCAAGACATGTTTTTATCTCAGTATAAATTGATACCAAACGAATAAAAAATCGTTAAAATCAACGAAATGCATGTATGTATACCAATATGTATACAATAGGATCTGTTATCCTGTTCTAACGGAAATTATAGAGGACCTTCAGAAAGCAATTATTGACAAATCCAATTCGAATTCATAAAACGTGTCAAGTTTAAATTTGTAATTTTTTTATGATGGTAGACTTTTGTTGAACAAGAATTACTACAATAAAAGTAGAAATAACAATAATAAACTCATTAAAAATTTCCACGTGCGTCAATCACAACAAGCGGAAAAACCTAACGAAACATAAGAGAAACTTCAATTGAAGAAATTCAATTTGTCCAAGAAAATTAGCGAATTATATTTATCATCCCAGATCAGTCTTTCGCCGCAGTTCAGACAAGACAAAAATGTTCATTAGTTGAAAGTAAAACCAAATGAGAAATGGTAGGCCCGGAGCCCCAAGATCTTAACTGATGATAAATTCTTGTCAAAAGAATCACCACGTTACCCACTATAGTAAACAACTCTGTCGCAAACCGTGCTTGTTGGCATGTCATGGTTTCGACCTAAATGGTAGAAGCACCGCCTCCTTAATCAAATGTATCAATATCCCGCCTGAGCATTTCGTAAAAAATGCATTGGAGCAGTGATTCCGATTTTTTCTTAGTTACGGGGGTTACTAAGGAAAAACTGAATGAGTTTTAATTATTAACGAAAAATAACGCAATTAATAAAAGCTGGGAAGGAAGGATACAACAAAACAAGATTCGCCACGGAGAATTAATATTATGAGGTTGAACCCTTTAAGCTAGAAAACTGGATTTGTCAAAAATTTTCCCCAGATTAAAGCGCCAACGGGAATCACTTGAACTCAAAAAATGCCCAGGCGAGAAAAGGATTATTTCTATGGAGACGGCGATGGGTAGAAGTGTTAGGTATATACTGATCTTGATTTTCTGTGGTTCTTGTACAATCTGCTTCAGAAGTAATGACACAAAACTCGGCTCTCGAGTAGGCACGTTCGACCGTTTCAGATGGGATGGAGCCGATGGTTGGCAGTTGTCGGTTTTCATCTAGATTTTTTTTAAATAGCGATCTGGATATTTTGCAGATCATGCTTGTCACATAGAGAAAAACTCAATATTACCACTGTTTATTGAGCAAGAAATACTCTTTCAGAGCTTGACAATTCTGCCTAGCTCAAAGGATATAACCCAGCAAAAATCTTGATCCCTTTACCTTGAAGACATTGTGTCAACCAATAAACTTCTTTAAAACAGATAAAAAACATTAAGAGCAAAAAGGACAAAAATTATGATAACGCATGCTTAACGTGATAGTAAATCGTAAACCGCCAAATTTCTTAAAAAAATATTAATTATTTCCTGGTGTTCCTATGTACCTACGTAGTATGTATACTTTACTATGTACTTATACCTCTCTACGACTTTTTTAATCTTTCTTTCATAATAAAATAATAATCAATATAATAATCAATAATTAATCAATGATTATTAATCAATCAAGTCTAGAAACTTTGAAGAAAAAGAATGTATACAGGGTGCGCCAGAACTCGAGCTCCAGAGAAAAGTGTCATATAAGATAAGATACCAGGAACATGGAAAAAATGTTAAAAAATTTTTATCTATTAAAATTTCGAAGTTATGAGGGTTTAAAGTTTGCAATTTGACTCTATTTATTTCTGTTACAAAAATAATTTTCCAAGTTTTTTTTTGCTATAGGCTATTAAAAGAGGAAACAAAGAAGCTGTATCCTAAATTGTAACTCTGTTCAATGTTATTTGTGGCTTTTATTGGCAAAATTTTTGTCCCTTTACTAAATAATTGTAAATAAAACGTATACAAGATCGACAGTATCCTTAAATAGATATAAAAAAATGTCAAACGTCAAAAAATAAATGTCAAAATTTTTTGACAGATAGAATTTTTTTAACATTTTTTTCATGTTCCTGGTATCTTACCTTACTTGAAAATTTTCTCTGGTGCGCGAGTTCTGGCGCAATCTGTATACAGAAAAATGTTATTTAGCAAAAGATACAAGTAGGTATTATGATGATGGGCAATAAATTTTGTGTAATTTATTAAAATGAACTCAAAGTTGATGCATTTTATAAATTCTTCTCTAGCTTTAATTTTAAAATTGTTACTTTTTCAACTCGTTCCTCAAAAACGATGCACAAGACACTAATTTAATTGCATTCTTTCCCAAGTTCTTTCTCATTCATGCTTATTTTGTATTCTTGTCAATTTTTTGCTAAAAATTGAGAATGTTTAGCAAACCTGCATTACAAATTGCATCTACATTTTAACGAGCCCTTTTTTTAACTTCCTGCTTGCGAACTATTCGTTTCCAAATTTCCAAAAACTGGTAGCGGTACCGAATTTGTTTCTTTTTTGGTGTTTCGTCTCTAAATTTTCTTAGACGATTTTTTGTATTGATGTTTAATGACATTGTTTTCAAATTAAAACCGGAACTTCCAACTGCCTTTATTAAAATTACCATAAATGAATTTACTAGGGGTGCCAACGTTAAGACTGTTTGACATTTCCATTTAAAAAAACACACCTTAGTTGAGATTCTTGCTACAAATACTTTGAAGAAAAAGGATGTATATACGGAAAAAAGTTAGTTGAAATTTATTTTTGGCGCCAAATTTCTAATACAATAATGCCAGCAATACGTATTTTTATATAAGTTCAATAAATTATTTTGATTTGTTGTCACTTTTTCTCTAGCTATCATGATAAAAATTACAAAAACCGAAAGTGAGGTTATTTGCCCGGTTTACATTTTTGTCACTCGAATGTCAAGTCGTTCAAAATTCCGTGTCCGCCAGTGTACCTACAATTGCGAACATTAAATTTTAGTAGTCAATGTCATTGCCTAACAACCTAACATGCTCTTTTGGGAGACGAACGTGTAGATGTCAAATAGCTGTCTTGAAATTGACATGACATGGTGTTTTGACATTTATACTCATTTTTGAAAGAAAATTGACAACAGACAAAATTACACAGGAATCTTTTTGACAAAAAGATGAAGTTTCAAAATTATATTACCTACCAAAATTTAATGCTCGCAGTTGTACATGTTGGTGCATACAATATAGTATTTGATAAATAATTTCATATTTCATACACATACTAAGGTCCATAGAATTTTATATCATTGCTTTGTTTAAATTTAAATTTGGAATAGTATTTAAATAATAATTTCCTAAGTACGTATGATTTGAAAGAATGTAGGTATTACGTATAAGATGATTGTTTAGACACAATTTTTAAACGTACCTGAACACATACAGGTGCGCCAGAACTCGCGCCCCAGAGAAAAATGTCATGTAAAGTAAGATACCAGGAACATGGAAAAAATGTTAAAAAAAAATTCTATCTGTAAAAATTTCGAAGTCATGAGAGTTTAAATTTTGCACTTTGACTCTTTATTTTTCTTGGAAAAATAATTCCCCAAGATTTTTTGCTAAAGACTATTATCTTATTTTAGTTGAATTTTTTTCCTGGGGCACACTCTCTATGTGTAAAATTTGTTTTTTAAGAAAAATATATTTTAAGAAAAAGAATTTAAAAATCTTAGTTGAGGCAGTCTGTACAACAATTTTATTTTTAATATGTACCGTATGAATATCTGATTCAAAATTCAAAAAATAGATAAAAGTGTCTTTTTTATATTGGGAGATTTGAGTTGTTTTAAATAAATTATTTAATTTGCAGAAAAGCCTCGACGGCTGAGCCACTGCGTGGGTTGCGGTGGCCAAATCCATGACCAATACATCCTGAGGGTGGCACCAGATTTGGAATGGCATGCAGCCTGTCTAAAATGCCAGGAGTGTCGACAGTTCTTGGACGAATCCTGCACGTGCTTTGTGCGAGATGGTAAAACGTACTGCAAGAGAGACTATGTGAGGTTTGTAAAATTAAATTAAACACAACACTATTTCAATTCACAAAAACGTAATTAAACATTTCTAAATCGTTATTTTTCATCTTATGATTTGGTTGACAAGACCTCCAATGTCGTTTGTTTATTCACTTTGAAATTTCCTATCGCAGCTGTGTCTTATTCGCCCCCTCTTTTGATGTTTATCAAAGTCAAATCGACGTGATTTTGGCAACGGTTTCATCCTGCCGGTGGCCCATATGTGACTTTTCCCGCGCCCCCTTAAACAAACCGAATCTCAAATTACACACGTGACAGTTAACCACACACAGTGGGTCAATTTTCTCACATTTCCAGGTTGTTTGGGGCGAAATGTGACAGGTGCGGGTCGTCGTTTAGCAAAGATGATTTTGTGATGCGGGCAAAAAGCAAGATTTATCACATAAAGTGCTTCAAGTGTTGTGCTTGTTCACGACCGTTAGTACCTGGAGATGAGTTCGCGTTAAGAGACGGTGGAAATTTGTACTGCAAAGAGGACCACGACCACATGGAGAAGACCACCATACCGACGACGCCGCATCTGCCCTCAACAGAAAGTAATAATAACACCAGCTTGAGCAACAACAATCACAACAGCAATTCCACGGAACTCGGATGCATGTCGGGTAAGGACTTCTACTTTTTAATTTAACAATTTCAATAACAAAAAGGTATAGAAGAAAATACTAAGTATTTTAGTAATTAAGTGTTAATGAAATCTTATAATGTTTAATTCACTCAACGTTATATTTTATTCAATGCAAAACGTATTTCTTATAATGAAATAGGTATATCAATTAAATAAGTTTTGAAAATATTATACAGGCTGTCCCACGAGTAATAATGAGCCTGAAAAATTTTTTGAAGCAACCAACATTACATTTCATAGATAACGATATTTCGTTTTAATTAATTAAACATAGTTAGTAATCATATTTTTACTTTTGACAAATTTCTATCAGTCAAAATACCTTACTCCAATTTTAGGAAACCCGTCTATTTGGATATCGCGCTGAATAGAAACGTGCTGTCTGCGAAGCGTTTTTCAGAAATTTTTCATAAATGAGGATTTTGTTGGTCTTTTCGGCAACATTTTAGTAATTTTCACCAAATTCTCCAAGATTTGACATTTTATAAATTAAAGTTGAAGTGCTGTTTGGTCACTATGTTTAATTTATTAAATCTAAATATTTTAATATCCACGTTATCTTTGAAATGGGATTTTGGTTGCTACAAAATTTTTTTCATGGTCATTATTTCTCGTGGGACATCCTGTATTATAGTCAAAGTAGAAATTAGAAAGTTTTTGTAAACCGTTTAGTTTAACGTTAACCTTAACGACAACGACAATTAATTGTCGCGTGTACGTTTTTTAAGGGCAAAAGGCGTATTCCGTCAATTCAAAGACGTTTACGTAAACGACTTATTTTTTGATTTCTTAGCAACGGCCATTTGCTGTAATACGTTAAACTTTTTTACGATTTGCAAAAACTCTTTACCTGAAACAAGCAAATATACAGGGTGCGCCAGAACTTGCGCCCCAGAGAAAAATGCCATATAAGATAAGATACTAGGAACATGGAAAAAATGTTAAAAAAATTTTATCTATAAAAATTTCGAAGTTATGACGGTTTAAAGTTTGCACTTTGAATCTATTTATTTCTGTTGGAAACATAATTTTCCAAGTTTTTTTGCTATAGGCTATTAAAAGAGGAAACAAGGAAGCTGTATCCTAAATTGAAAAATTTTTTAAACGTTTTTTTCATGTTCCTGGTATCTTACCTTAGTTGAAAATTTTCTCTGGGGCGCGAGTTCTGGCGCGTCTTGTATAATTAAAACTTTATTATTCTGTCGCAGTGGAAAAATGTTTTCCACATTTTTCTCTTGATTTTGAACTTAAGTATAATAATAAATTTTCTCTGCTGTTTAAATTTTCTCACATTGGCGGTTATATTTTTTGACAACGATGTTACTTTGACAATTAATTAATTAATTAATTGAATTATTTTATTCACAATCACTAATGTAATATGCCGATTACTAACTTTTTAAAGGTTGGGAAACACATCATTAAATCTCATGAACAGTAAGTAATATCATTTTATCCCTTGGGCGGTAATATGAAGGTTTGTCAACGTTAAGATTACAAACATACCGGGAATTTTTGTAATCTTAACGTTAGCAAACCTACATATTACCGCCCAAGAGAAATAATATTACTACTCCTCATTAAATTTAATCATGTGTTTCCCAACCTTTAAAAGGTTAGTAATCAGCAAATAACATGATTGTGAATAAAATATTTTACATAATTAGTATTTAATTGCTTCTGTCGCCGTTTTTTCTTATTTCTGCGGGAATACGCTGCTCCATTTCAACAATTTTAATATCAGATTTACACATTATTTCATTGAAATTTCTGAAATGTCAAAAATCAAACGCAATTTGGATGGCCTGCCACGTTTGGACCTTAACTTTAATTGTTAACATTTTATTTTATTCAAATTTCTGACCAAAAATAATGTTAATTGTGAATCAAATACCTAGCATACAAACCTCGGTGGCAATGGCTGTACCCCTTGTGCTTTATGCATGTATAGGTGAGCATTCGGAGTAGATAATGCCCACTTTACCACCTCGTTTATAATGTAATGTTTGTAATGTACTATTTCTGCGTTATAAATTCCATCATATTGGCGGTTTTACTTTTTTTGACAACGATGCCACTTTGACAAATGAGTTTGCGTAAGTTAAATAACAAAAATGTTTGTGAAAAACATAATTTTTATAAATGGCAACTCAAAAAAACAGCTTTAATAAGATAAAAAATACAAAGTCGTTTTTAACAAGAACAATCATTATTCAATTAATTAGTTAATTGTCAAAGTGACATTGGTGTCAAAAAAGTAAAACCGCCAATGTGATGAGATTTAAACAACAGAGAAAAATTATTATTATTAAGTCCAAAATAAAAAAAAAATTTTCTTCCTACTGAATCAGAATAATGAAGTTTTAATTACAGATTTGCTCGTCTCAGGTGAAGCATAAAATGTTTTTCCTTTGCAGTTTTGACGTAAAATCAAACATACTTTTTTTCTCCTTCTGTAAACTCAATCCGGCTACATAATTATAGATATGTATTTTTTTACTTTAAAAATTTTGTTATTCTGGACGCGTGCATTTTTTAAATATTAACAAGACAGTACGTATACAACAACAAATTATTCATTAAATCACTACATTTTTGCTAAAAAGGGCAAAATGACTTTTTATTGCAAAACTGTGCATTCGTTTTAAGTTACATATAAAAGATAAAAAAAACTTTTCTAGAAATAAATTTTCCACATCACAGTTTCTTGGAGCTTTGCCACTTAAGAAATTCAGAAATGTTTTTGTACAAGACCGGAAAAACATTAATTTTGTTTCACATCATATCACTGCTGTTAGTACTGTTTATTTATTCATTATAATAGTTTTCTTTTTAAATATATCCAAAAGTATTTTTTATCGTTTTAAATTTATTTAAAAAAAAGTGAATTTTTTGGATATACATCTATTTCTACATTTTTCCCATGTTTTATAGAAAGTAATTTTTTCCCTACTGCATTGTTATATTTAATTTTAATAATACAAAATGCTTATGGCATTTATAACACTACTTAACTTGGTGGACAAATAAAACATTTCTGCATTTAAATTGTCCTTTAGCTTTTGAATTTGTCAGATTTTTTTCTATTTTCTTCTAAAACCTCGTCTTTTTTAATTAGTTATTTTATCAAGAAGAAAAATAGTTAGTTGTTAACAATTTTGAAGATGTAGATAATCCACGCTGATAGGAAGTAATAACTTAAAAAAATAAACAATCTTTTCTTTTATAAATCACTGAGCTGAAGCCTTAAAATAAACGACACAACATAAAATGTTTACTACATGAATGATACTGGGACTTACCTCGAGATAAATAATATACAGGCTGGGGCATCAGTTACGCGCACTTGATAAATCGCGACTTCAAATTAATTAAAACTGGCGATATTTCATATACCTAACTAATTGTTGATAGGGTATAATTTGAGAATTTTTATAATTTTTTTGGATAATAAATGAATCCGTAACAGTTTTGTGTGTTTTATGAATACTTTCTGTTAATTTACCTATAAAGTTTTTACACTAAATGACTCTGTACCTGTTAGCGCATCAAACTTTGATATCACAATATCAAATTTTGACTTGGTTATCCAAATAATCGCTTTTTTTATTTAAACACAAACCAGACCCGTGATTTATGACAAAATGGTATAATTTGCCAACAAAAGAATCATTTACTGGTAGCCGACCGCATTAAAGGGTCGTTTTGTTGTAAACCTTGGAATCTTACCAAAACTGCAGTTCCCCATTGTCACCTAAATTTACGATGGCACAAGTAGCAGGTCATAAATAAAAATGATTTTCACAGTTAAGATGGAAAATTGCGTTTAATTCAAAATCTAATTGGATTTTTTTTCTGATTTTGTAAACAATTATAGGAAGTGAATCTGCGTAGGTTAGTATAAAAATTAGAATTAAATTTTTTGGGAGAAAAGTACTTTTTATTTTTTTTTTGGCTTTGTTTGTGAATGAAAAATTACCAAAAAATTAGAGAATGTACCTTACTAATGCCCAGGTAAGTGTGAAAAAATTCAACAATTTTATTTAATTAGAAGTGGGGATTTTCTTTTTGGGCGTAACGGATGCCCCACCCGGTATATTAAAAATTTTATATTATAAACAAGTGTATTTAATAATAACTTTTATTCAAATTCAAGAAAATACCTAGAATACATACAGGGTGTGTTAGAACTCGCGCCTCAGAGAAAAAATGCAAAAATTAAACTCTCATACCTTCGAAATTTTTATAAATAGACTTTTTTTAACATTTTTTTTCATGTTCCTGGTATCTTACCTTACATGGCATTTTTCTCTGGGGCACGATTTCTGGCGCACCCTGTTTAAAGTTTAATAGTATAAATATAAAATTCGAAAATTAAAAGGTTTTTAGATTATAATTTTAATAGATGCTTAGTTATTCGAACAATTTCGTATCTATATTTCGTATCACTTTGCTTCTACACAAAAAACATAAATTGAGGGAAAAATACACAATTTTAAAATTTACATTATTTTCTGGGTGATAAAATAATAATGTAAAAAAAGACCGTTATAAAGTACAGAGTGGTTATAAATGATTTTCATCTAGCCAGCTTTGGAATTTTTTTGCATGTAACTTTATTTGTGCCGCTATATTTTTTTGAAAGCTCTAGTTCTGTCATTAGATTAATAATAAATTGTGGTTAATTAAACTTTTATTGTTTTAATTTATTACCAATAAGAATTGATAATAATGTATACTTTGGAAGAAAACAAGTTTATAATTGAAGTCTATTTTCGAAGTGGACGCTTAGAAAACGGCGATTTTTTAATTTTGAGTTGAAACAAGTAGGTACCCTTATTTGCGTAAAGCGGCATTTTTTATTTTACATGGAAAATTCACAGCTGGCTAGATGAAAATCATTTATAACCACTCTGTATAACCTTCATAGAACCCATAATAATAATTACAACAGCATCAGTAATTTGAATTAACTTTCTGAATAACTGAAATAGGTCAAGAGACATCAAAAAATATTTAACTTACAAGTCTACCTGAAATAAAAAATATAAGTATGTAAATTGAATTATGTGTTTTTCTATACCCATGTTATGCAACACTTATTGCTACAACATAAAAAATATATTGTGAGAGCTTTTATATCTTATTAATTTAATACATATTCGCATGTTACTTATTTATTTCTTTGCACTGATCTGTAATGCTTGTAAATCCAGGAGGATAAGTAATGCTTAATTACATCAAACATAACTCAAAATGAGAAATTAATATGTAAGGTAGGTAAAATTAATTAAGAAGGTATTCGAGTATTATACCTAGATTTGTAAAATTTCAAAAATCTAAAGTTATTTTAATAAAGACGGTAGTCCATTTGGAATTGGTAGAATGCTTTAAAAAAGAACCATCAAATGTGGTCATAAAAAATTCCATTGGTATCATTTTGCTGCATTTCTGCACATCTGCTAAAAAGTATTGAAATAACTTTTAAAATAAATATCAATTAAAACCAGTTTGCTCCCAATTAAAATGTCAGTAATGATCTAGTTGATTACATCAAATTGTTGCAACTGTATAAGAAACTTGATTTACAAAATATTCATGTGAAGATCATGCAAATGAGCGATACGTAGTTGCATTAAAAAATATTTAATATTTTGTGTGAACAAAAAAAAATAAAGAAAACAATTGTAATGTTTAGATGTTAGCTTGTGAGGTCCCTCCGAGATCATTTGAAGTATTTTAAAGGTCGCTTAAGTACATGTTTAGAAAGGTTTTATTTAGTTTAAAACCTCCAAGGTTGAGCATTTTTACTTTTTAAATATTTGCGTTGGGTTTAACATCAAAGCTTGACCGTCTCCGAAGGGTTAACATTTCACGCAGTCCAAACAATTCCTTCCCCATAAGAAAATCATCAATGGACCATCACACGTAGCTCTAAACCAAACATTTCCTTGTCAATTTCCCGTCAGAGTTAATTCGGGTGATTAAGGTAAAGCCGGCGTCCACTCATCTATTCACAAAGAGTGGCGCTTTAATCGCCTAATCTGCATTGACCAGTGTTTCACGCCTTGCTAATCCCCGGACTCGGGTCCAGAATTAGCGGACTTTGCTAATGGACGCCGGCCAGTCGGATTATTTCTAATATTCCGTGGATTAGCATCAGGAATTATATACGTTCTGGTTTCGGACAAAGAGAATTTTCTATAAACTGGGCTGAAGAATTCATCTTTGTGTCGGCTGTTGCAGATTCCGGCTCGGAGAGTGGGTCGCACAAGGGCGGCGGCGGCGGGATTCGGAAGGGCTCTGGGGGCGGCGGCGGGGGCAGCGATGGCAAACCGACGCGAGTGCGCACTGTTCTCAACGAAAAACAGTTGCACACATTGAGGACTTGCTATGCAGCCAATCCTCGGCCAGATGCCTTGATGAAGGAGCAGCTGGTCGAAATGACGGGACTTTCGCCGAGAGTCATCAGGGTTTGGTTCCAGAACAAGAGGTGCAAGGATAAAAAAAAGACCCTGCTTATGAAACAGCAGATGCAACAGGAAAAGGTTAGTTCTTTCATTAGTGAATTCGCTCAAACCATGCAGATATTGAGGAAAGAAGCAAAGCATTAGTTATTTTTGTAATGAATGAAATTTGGTTTTTGTGAGAGATGATTTACGGTGCAAGCAATTTGTTCGGTTGGTAGAGGCGTGTCCACGTTAAATTTTAATTAAGTGTGAAATTAGTGCAATTATTTAAAATGAAGCATTAGCACAAATTAAGTGTACACATCGAAAGTCGTAACAACATCTAAAAAGTGACTCCATTTATCTTTTTACCATTTTAATTAATTTTGAAGAAGTTTTTGTCACGTAGGTGTGCATGTTGCCAAAAAATAATTAAAGGAATTAACATTTTTGTGATATAAACAATAAATAGCTATTACAAAAACCATGATGAGCCATTAAGGTCCAGTTTCTGGTACGATTTAACTTCAGTTAAATTTTATCGGTTCGCGGTTCCATAATTGCTATAGAAACACCAAACGTTAGCTCACGAATAATAATTAAACCCATAAAATTTAACTGTTGTTAAATTATACCAGAAACTTCGGCACATAAATATTCGAATAAACATACATAAAATCTTATAACAAAACATAAATAAATGTCAACTTATAACAAGTTCGGAACTTTTTCTTATTCTAAAGATGAGACAACTAGTAGATAATCGAAACACTTAAAAAATAAAAGCAATGCGAGGTAAATGATAATTTCATTACATACAGGATGTTTCACATAATTTTACGAGGCCTGCGCCTGTAAGATGCAATCAATAATGCATATTCCGATACGAACTCGATTACAAATTTTGAAAAATTGGATAATCTTATCTAGTTTGTTCACCCTTTCAAAAATTACAATGTTTTTAGTTAGTTTGTGATTAAGATAGATAAACTAGAATCATATTCAAATCATGCCGTCTCTTGATAGAACAAATGATAATTGTTTCTGAAAAACTGCAGTTTATGACTATTAATGTAACAGTAATTTGACAACAGTAATTACTGTCACGGGTTTCCAAAAATTAAATAATTGAATGTGTATTTTTTGTATCCAGTGTTTTGTAATTTTTGTATATTTGGGTGCGTATATTAAGCGCAAGCCTCGTAAAGTTGTGGGAAACATCCTGTATGTAATAATTATAATGATTTTTTTAATTTGTTTTTTATAGTGCTATCAACAAACCTGGATATTTAATATTAGACATGCATAACAAAGTTTTAAAATAAATACCTACCTAGAACGAAAAGATACATATCTACTAAATAAAAAATAGAAAGATTTATAAATACGACAGGTAGATCAAAAAGGACTTTTTACCAATTGTGAGACAATAATTGCTAATCACTGACAAGAAGTAGGTAATGGATGACAAAAAATAATGGATTGTATTGCTTGATACATACACAGGTGATTTTTGTAGGGCCTACTTTAGAAACTTTTCAACTTCCAATGTAGCTACGTCTTTGAAATTTTGTATATAACCAAAATCGACCATTCTCAATTCAACTAAATTACTCTCAAAATGGCTGAACTTTGGAACCATGAGAAATTGGCGCCAACTTGAAATTTTTATTGAATTTTTTTCATCAAACGTAACGTAAAACGTAGACCCAAGTAAGACCCAATAAGTAAATTATTTTTTTGCTTTGGATAACTAAATGTCTGAAGAATATTCTAAAGTAGCTCAACTCTCAGATTTCAAGGCTAATATGATTTTTTGAAAATGGTTATCAAAAAAAAAGAGCTATAACTCAGTTTTTTCAAAACCCTATTTTCTCAACAGCAATCGAAAAAAACATCGATTTTTATGAAGACTTTTATCAACATGTCCTATACTTGCAATTTTTGAAATAATCACGAAAAACTGATTTTATCGGTTTATTTTCATTGTTAATTAAGTGGGCTTTTGAAATCATTTAAGATAAAATTACAATATTTGGCAAATCAGGTCAGGTCAGGTCAGGTCAGGTCAAACACTTAAACGAATTGAAAGATCAAATGTCGAAATGTTTAATCAGGGGCGTACTAAAGTGCGAGGTAAAAAGTACTAAAAAGAGTAAAAACTGCCTAACTATCTTATCTGTAGTTTCTTGGCTTCCAGCAACAAAATCTTAATCCCATCGTTTCTCACAAAAAATAGGTTTCTTTCGATACAACTTACCGTTTTTGAGTAAAATCAATTTAAAAATTGTGTTACGGACCGTAAACAACATAATTTAAAATAAATTCTTTTTAGAGGGTATAGCTCCCTTACATAGTTTTTGAAGCATGTTTAAATTTGTAACAATAAAAAGGGAACATCCTGTGGTGTGTATATGTAAAAATATATAATTTTAGCTCATACAGCAAGTTAATTTCTATGAATTTTGTATAGGCATTTTAAAATATTTTAACAATTAATGGACTTCTTCAAATCTCTGGTACTGTACATAGGTATCTACTGACCCTGAGTCGCAAGTGCAGTGATGGGCAAAATACAGGGTGCGCCAGAACTCGTGCCCCAGAGAAAAATGCCATATAAGGTAAGCTACCAAGAACATGGAAAAAATGTTAAAAAAATTTTAGCTATAAAAATTTCGAAGTTATGAGGGTTTAAAGTTTGCACTTTGACTCTATTTATTTCTGTTGTCAAAATAATTTTCCAAGTTTTTTTGCTATAGGCTATTAAAAGAGGAAACAAGGAAGCTGTATCCTAAATTGTAACTCTGTTTAATGTTATTTGTGGCTTTTATTGGCAAAATTTTTGTCCCTTTACTAAATAATTGTAAAAAAAACATATACAAGATCATCAGTATCATTAAATAGATAGAAAAAAAATGTCAAACGTCAAAAAATAAATGTCAAAATTTTTTGACAGATAGAATTTTTTAAACATTTTTTTCATGTTCCTGGTATCTTACCTTACTTGAAAATTTTCTCTGGGGCGCGAGTTCTGGCGCACCCTGTATAATGTTCCCAGGAGCTTCATTTTTTTATAGACACTTCTGCTGTTCCCATCGACACATTCCCGCGAAAAGAAGGTACAGTTTTTGGTGCAAGAATAGAACCAAATCGTTTCACAGGCTGTATCTCAGCTGTAGCGGTTGTCCATGACTGTCTTACAGAGACTCTCGCTCTTTCAATCTTCTGCGCATCTCGAGGCCCTTCTTATTCTAGGCAACCTGTAGATGTCTGCATACAGGTTTTGTTATATTTTTATAAAATTATTAAAGTTCTAAAATCGTACTGTCAAAAAAATTGTGAAGTTGTCCTAAATTGCCCAAGAGAGTTGTAAAGAGTAACATGTAGTAATAGATAATACAGGTGTACCAGAATTAGGTTTTTTTTTTAATTTTTTGTCCATTTTTAAACCAAAGCAGCTATTACTTTTGTTCAATTTTCAGAATAAAAACATATTTTTCAATGGAAGCAAATCGCTACGTCTCTTTCAGAATTACTTTTAGTACAAAATAGTCTACCCATTATTTATAAAACATACTAAAAAGTAAAGTATTTGTGGTCTAAAACCTCGCGACAATCCCAGTGGGAAGTCAGTCGTTGTCGAAAAGTTGCTGGACTGTCGCACAGCCGTACACAACCGTGTTATTATTGATTAGTGGCGTAGCAATCGTAGCATCCCAACAGATTGTCCAATCTATAATTGAACACCCCCCACCTCTCAGGTCGTTTACGTCGTAAATCTCAGGAGGCGTTTCTTATCAGCTGTGCTTGTCCCCGCCTCCCGTCGCCAACCAATCGTCTGCGTCACACATGAACCCAACCGGTCGATTTCGGTTTTTTTCTAAGGGATAGAGGGGGTCGTGTTCGTGTCTACGTTCGCACTGGCCCAACATTTGAACCACCGCTACCGTTCGCGAACACGGAGACATGAGTCTCGTCATGTCAAACTAGTTTTTTAACCTTGAACAGGATGACTTCTTCTTGCCCGTCTCGACTTTTTGTGGCATGTTATTTATGACGTTTGGAAGCACAACGACATGCTTTTTGAGCGATAAGAAACGATGGAAGAAGAAACTCGCGCATGTGGTGATCTGGGTGGTATGGTATGAGAACACGAGTTGCGGTTGAGGAGTTGCAAAATAATGTTTTCATACCATTCTAATGCAGAAGCGATCAGTTTCCCCTCGTAGTAAACAATATTTTATCGCTAAATGTGGGTGATAAACTATCTATTTTAAAACAGTCGAAAAGCCAAAAGAGCTGCATGACTATAATGTTATATTTAACTACTTAGGTACCTGCCACTTTTGTTTTTACTCTCCAAACTAACCAAACATTTACGAAAACTAAAACATAAGTAATAAAAGCTACCTACACTTTGAACTTCTTGTGTAGAATAGGTAAAAACTATACCTATGTATTTTCAAATTGTATCTACTATTTTTTAGTTCATTACTGTCTTAAAAAAATCTTTTCAAAATAATAAATCTTATCTTTCTTGACATTAAAAAAAAGCAAGTTAGCCCTGTGACTCTAAAACAAATGAAGGTAGAAATTTGAAAATCATGTATTTCAGTTTATGGAATTTAAATAGGACCTTTAAAAAGGTACATTACAATTTAACGGATGTTTATTTAAATTTGGAGTCATAGTTGGCGGTGATATATGAGTGTGTTGTGAACGGACCACAATTTTTAATACGCCCGGCGAGGTGTCAAATGTCAGAAGAATACGATGGTTCATTCACAATCGAACTTTCATGGATAGCTTTGACGCCAAATTTGAAAAACACCCGTTACAAAATTTCAGTAGGTATACCCACAATTTGTTAAACTACTTATTTATAAAACATTTATAGGAGCACCTATACTTTTTATAGGTTAGTGTTGCCAACTATCCTTTACTTCAATGGACAATCTTTTATTTCAATTAATTGTCTGTTGGTTAAAGGCTAAATAAAATTTTGAACAACATCTCCTATTTTTTGATAGATCGTTTTAAAGACGAAAAAAAACTTCATCTGTTAGAAAAAAAATCGATTTGTTTATTAATTAATTAAT